TGCAGCAACAGCTGGAGGAGCAGAAGCGACAGAAGAGCACCTTCCCTGAGCCCCCTGCCCGACCACCCGAGGGGCCTGCTGAGGTGCCGCGGGGACCACCACAGAGCCAGGGACTGCCAGAGGGGCCTCCTGGTTCCCGGTACCCCACACCACAGCGTCCACTCAGCAGCTCAGCCTCCGACATGTCGCTGCAAGTTGAGGAGCCCTGGGAGCCCAGCCGGGGTATCAAGAAGAGGAACTCGATGCCACGGCTGCGGGACGCATATGAGAAGGAGACAGCACGGGAGGCCACTGCGGCGAGGAAGGTGGCGGACAGCAGTGTGCAGACAGACGAGGAGGATGGTGAGGAGCGGTACCTGCTGTCGCGGCGGCGGCGGACGCGGCGCAGCGCTGACTGCAGCGTGCAGACAGACGAGGAGGACAGCGGGGAGTGGGAGCAGCCCGTGCGCCGCCGGCGCTCTCGGCCCTCCCGGCACACCGAGGTTGGCGCTGAAGGCAAGGCAGAGGGGACGGCCCGTGCCATGGCCAGCGTGGGCATCCAGACCATCAGTGACTGCTCAGTGCAGACAGAGCCTGACCAGCTCCTCCGCGTGTCCCCTTCCATCCACATCACTACCCACGATCCCCGGGTGGAGATTGTCAAGTACATCTCAGCCCCAGAGAAGACGCAGAGGGGCGAGAGCCTGGCCTGCCAGACAGAGCCAGAGCCAGCCCCCCAGCCTGGCATCGTGGTCCCCCAGCTGACGGTGCCCACCACCATTACACCCTACTCCACCAACATCCAGATGGTGAGCACGGGCCCCCTGGACCCCCATGCTGTCCGGCAGCAGACCCTGGGCAAGTTCGAGAAGAAGAAACCAGATCCCCTGGAAATTGGCTACCAGTCCCATCTGCCAGCCGACTCCCTCTCACAGCTGGTGACCCGCCAGCCACCCCGCTCTCCCCAGGTCCTCTACTCACCTGTCTCTCCCCTCTCCCCCCACCGCCTCTTGGAGTCCTCCTTTGCCACCAGCGAGCGGCTGAACAAGGCTCACGTCCCCCCCCAGAAGCACTTCACCACCGACTCAGCCCAGCGCCAGCAGACACTGCCGCGCCCCATCAAGACCATGCAGCGCTCCCTCTCCGACCCCAAGCCCATCAGCCCCACCGCTGAGGAGGCTGGCAAAGACAGGTTCTCCCTCTACCAGCACCCGCTGCTTCCCGGCACCCAGGTATGTCAGTGTTGAGAACAGGCTTTTCCTCAGGGAACAGCCCCAGGAGGCACCTCAGGATGTTTCGATTTCATTAGTGCTGCAACAATTAATATTTTAAAGGGCTGTGGATGGCAGCTGGCGGGCACGGACACGAGCAGGGAAGCTGGCAGCCAGAGGGAGGGCCCAGAGCTCCCCTGGCAGCAGGCAGGAGTTGCTGCTGGGTGACAGCATCAAGGCTGACCCGTCCCCTGTCCCCTGCCACAAGTGGGTCCCCCTCCTCTCCCAAGGAGCTGCCATGCATTACTCCCTTTGGAGTTGCAGCAGCTCTTGCTCCCACCTTCTCCCCCCCAGATGGTGGTTGCCTTGTGCAGCCAAGCACCCTGCAAAGAGCTCCAGGGGGAGCAATTCCTGGGGCAGTTCCCAGCCTGGCTTCTCCCCCAAGCTCTGCTGCCAAGGGCCCGAGGACAGAAAGCAGTTTTTGCAGCAGGCAGCAGCGCGCAGGCGGCCAGCCCAGCACTTGGCTGACTGCCACCCCCGGTAATTACTCACGGGAAGCAGCCCTGCCTGTTACTTCCATCCTATTTATCACGCTTTTACATAAATGCCGCTTCCTCGGTGTGTGGGGGGACACGTGCACAGCAGTCTGCCTCACGGCAGCCCTGGGGCATGGGTGGAGCTCTGGGTACCCAGGGTGGGGGGCACAGGCAGACACCCACGTGCACCCCTGACCTGCTGTCCCTTGGCTTTGTAGGTGGGGGCGCTGCAGTCGAGCCCACTGGCGCGCAAGGTAAAGCGGACACTGCCCAGCCCGCCGCCTGAGGAACCCCACGTCCCGCTGGCCAGCCCAGCCACCTCCCAGCTCTACCTGAGCAGCCTGGCCACCAAGGCCACCGCGCCAGTCACTAAGGCCAGCCTGCTGAAAGAGCTGGACCGCGACCTGAAGCTGGTGGAGCATGAGGCCACCAAGCTGCGGAAGAAGCAGGCAGAGCTGGATGAGGAGGAGAAGGAGATTGATGCCAAGTTGAAGTACTTGGAGCTGGGCATCACCCAGCGCAAGGAGTCACTGCTGAAGGAGAGGGGCCACCCATACCTGCGTTGCCCCGGGGACCGCCGCGACTACCTGTCTGACAGTGAGCTGCACAGCCTGCGCCTCGCCACCTATGAGGGCGCTGGCCTGCGCCCCACGCCTGCTGGGCAGTACCCCGACTTTGCTGCCGCCGCTGCCTCCTATGGCGCCTACCCCTATCCAGCCCCACCAGGCCCCACCGCCTTCCCACCAGCACGCCTGCAGCACCCCCAGTACCCTGCAGCCAGCACCACTCAGGATGGCTTGCCGGCAGCCCCGCTGTCTGCCTTCGCCTCACCTGGCACCTTCCCAGCCCCCAGCACTGCGTACCCAGAGCTGGGCACACCAGGCCAGCCAGGCTTCCGGCCCCAAAACCCCTACCAAGCCCCCAGTACCTTCACCGGGGTGGCCAGCGTGCCAGCAGCACAGCCCACCCTCTTCCAGACCCCAGCAGACGTAGCTGGCGGGCACCAGAAGCCACGGCAGACCTCACTGGCTGACCTGGAGCAGAAGATCCCCACCAACTACGAGGTCATCAGTGCAGCCACCAGCTCCTCCACTATTCCTGATGTCACCTTCAGTGCCACGACAGCAACCAGTGGCTACGAGCAGTACAAGGCGCCCGAGGCCCGGCCAGCTGAGAGAGCCGGTGCAGCACAGGGCCCCTCAGCTAGCTTCTCCTCTGAGTCCCTCTACACCAACCTGGAGCAGAACATCCCCCGTAACTACGTGATGATTGAGGACATCAGCGAGCTCACAAAGGAGAGCCCAGTAGTGGAGGGGCAGAAATCTGAGCCGGCAGGCACAAGCACTGACATCCGCCATGGCAGAGAGAAAAGTGACCTGGGGGATGCTGAGGGCTCCAGCAGGCCCTGCTGCTACACCAAAGCTGAGGAGGAGTCTGAGGAAGACATCTATGACCACCATGGCTCTGACTATCGAGGAAAGAACAGCTACCACCGGGGCATGGAAAGCAATGGCAGGGTGTCAGGGAGCTCCACCAGCTCATCCTACTACTATGGGGATAGTGATTACCGGCACTCCTCACGGGCAGACAAGCACGGCTCTGGCGTGGCACTGCCAAAGCATTCCTCCAAGAATCTGGCACCTGCCGTTGTCTCCTCAAAGCGCAGCAAGCACAGGAAGCAGGGCATGGAGCAGAAGATCTCCAAGTTCTCTCCCATTGAAGAAGCCAAAGATGTGGAGTCAGACCTGGCCTCCTATGCAGTGACAACCTCAGTTGGTAGCAGCAATGTGGCCTCCAGGGCCAAGAAGCTGCAAGATGAGATCACCTATGGCCTGAAGAAGAATGTCTATGAGCAGCAGAAGTACTATGGTGTCTCCAGCCGGGATCTGGTGGATGAGGAAGAGAGGGTCTATTCCACAAGCAGCAGAACCCGCTCCTCTGGCTATGGGGTGGAAAAGTCCTCTGGCCGGGAGGTGGGCAGTCGGAGCAAGTCCTACGAGCGGGAGGTTATAGAGCGCTCCCAGAAAGGCAGTTCCAAGCCCTCATCCCTTGGCATGAGCCAGAGCCGCGGGCGGGCTCCCATCCGCACACAGCCCTCAGAGGAGGAGAGCCCTGTCAGCCCGCTGGGGAAGGTGGTGGGAGGGACACGCTCTGTGGGGGGCCCTGGCCCTCAGTCGGCGGGGGACCCCTGCTCACAGTTCTGCTCCAGCCACTCGTTGCCTGATGTGCAAGAACACATCAAAGACGTGCCAAGGAGTCACTCGTACAAGCACGAGGAAGGCTACGGCATGGACGATGCCCATTGCGTTGTCTCGGACAGTGAAGGTAACGGCTCCCTGTGGTGACCACCCCAGAGCATGGCTTCCCGGGGCATGCCTGTCTGCTCGTACGCAGAGACACTCTCACTGCCTCAGTTTGCTTGACACGTGCCTTCCTCCCCCTGCCCCGGGTATTCGGTGGTAGCCGGTCCCACGTGGCCCCCCGCCGTGCCGCGCCGCGTCCCATCCCTACCGGCACGGGCTGTTCCCCGCACGCGTGCCCGCTGCTTGCCTCTCCCACCTCATTGCATGGCTTCCGCCCGGGCAGCCTCGAGTGAGCGACTGACTGTGGTTTGTTTTTGGTTTCTGAAGCCTATCATTTGGGTCAGGAGGAGACAGACTGGTTTGATAAGCCCAGGGAGGCACGGGCGGAGAGGGTCAGGCACTACG